TATTGATGTGATGTATGAGTAGACAAGCAGGTAAAATCAACAGGCCATATCAAGTGATAAATGCTTTGCTAAACTATAATTGAAATATAGTTGTTAATAGATTCAAAAGATTAACCTGAAATTAGAATCCAATAGCTGTTTTTAAGTACGGTGAAATTTTTTGAATCAATATTAACAATGAATAAAGGCTAACTACTACAGGAACTGTTTTATAGCTTATCTTCACTGGGGTGCCGAATTAACAAGATAACATCAGTGGCATTCTACAGATGGTGACGCCTTTGGCGGCACCCTTTGTAAAGCGAAAAGATTGTGTACTGTAAGTTTTCATGATTACTACAGTGACAGCCCCCTAATGTTTCGCGTGAAAAGTTTTATACAGCGTGTGTCCCTCTTGAAGCAACATATTCTTTTTCCCTGAATCGTTTCAAAACCCCTGCTCGTAATTCGGTAAAATTGGCAAGGAGAATAACAATAACAAACGTTTTCTTCAAACTTTAAAAGTTACAACATACGTGGTAATTACCATAATTAGTTACAGTAATGAAATCGCTCTGTCAGAAATGGAAATGGCACACAACACTGAGAGTGAGACCAGCGAGAGCTGACGGCTACCTCGTCATGCTTTGGTTTAATTTGTCGCTACTTCGAATGACAGTCAACCACCATATCAACAAGTTTTGACCTCTCGGACACCTCGAACGACCTCTATTGCAGCATCCCAGGGCACAGCAGAACGTCTCAGGCATAGTAATTTCTGCTCATTTGAAATCGACCGTGCTACAAACTTTGAACGCCATGATTATACCGGAAGTACACTTAGGACCGTAGTGATTGGCGCCATCTATTAGCGAAGCGGTAAAGGGAGATAACTGAGGAATGTTCCCCATTCGGTCTAACATTCATCTAATTTACAAACACAGTACGTTTATCTCCTAACTCAACCTGTTTTCAAATCAATCTTATCCAGATTTTGACTGTCTTTAACCTTCCCTATGGAAATCTCTATTATGCGAAACAATCATTTATTCAGCCTCTAGGAATGAGAATATAACCTATCGAACATTTTTACTACCAAAATATTGTCATCTCCATGGCAAATGGTTATGGCTTTGGTACATATCTCATTTAGCAAACTAAGGACATCAGACACAAGTGAACTTATGTTATAGCAAGAATATCATCAGCTACGAAGCAATTACAGAACATACAAATCTATATTCACAGATGGATTCAGAGATGGTAACGCAGTCGCTAGCGCTGCTGTCATTGGAATCAGAACCATGCAATACAGGTTACCAAACAACAGTTCGATATTCACAGCGGAATCTAAAGCTATATTAACAGGTCTTAAATATATAAATTCCAAGTCTGAACATAAACAGTTCCTTACATTTTCTTATTCCCTCTCCTGCCTCAACAAATCCGTGACACAACTCATTATCGCATACACTGATTATATGCCTGTAGACAGATGTTACATCCGTGATCTGATGCAAAAGCAGTGGGATACCAAGGTAGGTGTAAATAAGTTACATGAAATAAATACAACTATCCGTTACACCAACTTGGATTGTCAGTCTAGATTTAAAGAGGTCATCATTCGACGACGCTGTATTGGCCACTCGAGATACACACACTAGTACTAAAAGGTGAGGATACTCCTTTTTTGACTGTTTCCAATTTACCATCACAAGGGATAATTATTTCAAAGTGAAAACAGTAAAAGATAATTTTAGTAATTTTGGGCATCATTTAATGTTATCCTTCTGAAAAGAAATTGATTATTTGATGATTTTGTTATGTAAATGTTTTCTTTGATATATTGATAGAACATGTTTATGAACTGAGATTGTGCTTGGGTGTGCCCTTGATGGGGGCTGGAGCATTGTAAAATTATTGTACCCCGGAGAGGACCAAGTGTTTTTATATCTACCTGAATTTTAAAGTGCTGAGTAATGGTTTATTCTAATTCTCCGCTTAAACCTACGACAATAACCAGTAACTAGTGAAAGGTGCAAGTAGCAGAGGTTCCATAAGTCCCCATGGTCCCTCTAATTGTGTCCTTACCTGTGTTCTGGCGTCCTCTCAGCTCGCCACTTTTGTATGTATTGGTACCAAATACTCCGTTTTACTGTTCTATAACTTGTCCTCACGTTAAAGGTTATGCACCTCCCCTTCCATCCCCATAGGTATACTGCCTCCTTAAGAAAGGTGAGTAAGTTACGATTTAGAGTCAAATCGGCAACATTCAGCTAAAACAATACTTACATTAATAAATAATTAAGATTAATCAAATCTGTCAACGAAGCACAGTAAAATAACCAAGTTAGCGCAGATAGAAATTTAACACTGGAATGTAAGCATTAAAACATTTACTACAATTGAGGGCAATACCAGACAAATATTTGATATATGGCTTGTTGTTTTTCTGACCATCGATGAAATAAATTAAATTAATAATAATAAATTAAATTGTTTAAGTTGATCAAGTCACAATATGGCAGAAATATTGCCGACGTGACTTACATTATACACACTCACTCACCCATTATCTGGTTAAACCTCCGTATATGTCACAAACATAGTAAAGCAGAGATTTAATACACTGGCAACATGCTGGGGACAAACATAAAGTTAATGGATAACCAATGGTGATCAATGGCATGGGGTGTATATGACATAACCACTACTCTAGTCCACGTCCACGATCGTGCGTCTCCATCAACGACCAAGCATGTATCACTGTTGCAATGCCATTCCTATATCCGATTCCAGTCGGTTTCCAATCAAATTCACCGATGCATACTGTAAAAGCAGCCTTTAGTTGGCTGCGCAAATACGACCAAGTGAAATCATATGTTATCATACACGATTATGGCAATACTGGTCAATAACTATCGAACAATGTCATCTGCAAGAGTTAAAAATACATAGCAATGAACACATGGATCCTAGATTTCCTCGTGAAGAATGTTTGACTTTGCTCAGCCAGTATACCCGGAAATTTTTTAGTGTTTAGCATAAATCAGTGAAAATATTTTATAAATGCTTTGTGAAAAAGGAGTGGTTTTAGAGTATATATCAAATAATGACTTGCGTTGTGATGTAGCTGTACAATCTTAATAGGAAAACACATTATGAGGCTCCGTTGGCCTACGCTTTGTCCATAGGTATATCAAAATATAACACTGTATATTACATTGTGTCATATACTACAGTGGATTCGTGCTATGTATTACATTGAATCAGTACTATGTATTACATCAAATTAGCGCTATATATATCACCTTAAATCTGTGCTATGTATTACGTTGAATTCGTGCTTTGTATTACATTAAATTAGCGCTATGTATTACATTGAATTAGCGCTATATATATCACCTTAAATCTGTGCTATGTATTACGTTGAATTCGTGCAATATTTTGCACTGAATCAGTACTATGTATTATATTGAATTCGTGCTTTGTATTACATTGAATTAGCGCTATGTATTACATTGAATTAGCGCTATATATATCACCTTAAATCTGTGCTATGTATTACGTTGAATTCGTGCAATATTTTACACTGAATCAGTACTATGTATTATATTGAACTAATGCTATGTATTACATTGAATTTGTGCTATGTAGTACATTGAATTACCGCTATATATATCACCTTCAATCTGTGCTATGTATTACGTTGAATTCGTGCAATATTTTACACTGAATCAGTACTATGCATTACATTGAACTAGTGCTATTTATTACATTGAATTAGCGCTATATATATCACCTTAAATCTGTGCTATGTATTACGTTGAATTCGTGCAATATTTTACACTGAATCAGTACTATGTATTAAATTGAACTAATGCCATGTATTACATTGAATTTGTGCTATGTAGTACATTGAATTACCGCTATATATATCACCTTCAATCTGTGCTATGTATTACGTTGAATTCGTGCAATATTTTACACTGAATCAGTACTATGCATTACATTGAATTCGTGCCATATATTACATTGAATTAGCGCTATATATATCACCTTCAATCTGTGCTATGTATTACGTTGAATTCGTGCAATATTTTACACTGAATCAGTACTATGTATTACATTGAATTAATGCTATGTATTACATTGAATTTGTGCTATGTAGTACATTGAATTACCGCTATATATATTACCTTCAATCTGTGCTATGTATTACGTTAAATTCGTGCAATATTTTACATTGAATCAGCACTATGTATTACATTAAACTAGTGCTATTTATTACATTGAACTCGTGCCATATATTACACTGAATTAGCGCTATATATATCTCCTTAATTCTGTGCTATGTATTACGTTGAATTCGTGCAATATTTTACACTGAATCAGTACTATGTATTACATTGACCTAGTGCTATGCATTACATTGAATTCGTGCCATATATTACATTGAATTAGCGCTATATATATCACCATAAATCCGTGATATGTATTACGTTGAATTCGTGCAATATTTTACACTGAATCAGTACTATGTATCACATTGAACTATTGCTATGTATTACATTGAATTAGTGCTATTTATTACACTGAATCAGTGGTATGTATTTCATTGAATACTTCCCATATATTACATTGAATTTGTGCTATGAATTACATTGAATAATTCATATATATTACATTTCATTAGAGCTATGTATTACTCTAAAATATTACTTTATGTTATATGACATCAGTGCTATGTATTACAATGAATTCTTCCTGTTTAGTACACTGAATTAGTTCTCTATATTACATTGCATGAGCGCTATATATTAAATGTGTTTGTAAAATTTAATTCATTCATCTCACGACAACATTTACCATGCTATATATTTATATATGTTTTTTAGTTGGTTTGTTTTTGTGTTTTACATGTTCAGCTACACTGAGAGCTATACACCACAGCACCGCTTGTATGCCTTTCTACTTCACATTGTCTGTGATCGAACAAATATAGCGCCAGTTCGATCAGACCTCAGCGAGGATGTGAGCGCACATTACAACTGACTGTGTTGAAGACGCCTTTTCAGAGGAACCAGCTCCCTTGAAGCTGTTACACAACCTACTTTGTTGATCGCGACAGTACTACGGGGTGGCCTCACAATCAGGTAAGTCTGTTTTACTTCTTTGAGGGGTATTTAGAAGTTTAAGCAAGGATAACAATATATGGATGAACAATTTCTTTATTACAGCGAGAGCGGTTAACGCGATCGCTCTTCACGCCGAAGACACGGGTTCGATTCTCCACATGGGTACAATGAGTGAAGTCCATTTCTGGTGTCCCCCTGCCATGATATTGCTGGAATATTGCTAACATAGAGGTAAACTCATACTCACTCACACGATCATCCAATAGATAATCGAGAATGAGAGCAACTGAGATGTTAATATCCTTACACGAAGCTGACACTTCTCGGTAAAAATTAAACACCGGTATTACACTTTATTCGTTCATTTATCGGTGCCGTGAAATACAGATTGTTTGGACTTTGGACAAGTGTCTAATTGATTTTGTGTGATATTTTAGTACATTGTATTTGGTAGAAACAAACAATCCTTAGCTGTGGATTTTCTGCTCCAACCATCATTTGATTTTCTGGTTTACAAGCCGCCTTTGATTTGCAGCGTACTTGCTACCTTAAACGAGAAATATTTATGTGAATAGTTGGTGATGCCAAAATTGGCAACTCTAACTCTGTCTAATCTGGCGGAAAAATAATAAACAGTAAATTGTCCTGTAAAGAAAGAGTCAAAAATTGTTTCCTCAAAAGCAAAACAATATGTTAACTCACTGCCATCGCTTGGCCGACTGACGACGTGAATGAGGAGACGTGTGTTGGCGTGTATGGATGCCCAGTGTGGTCAAACTCGCTATTGACGTCGTGTCACCAGACTCCTGTCTCATTATGTGACCCTTTATGCACTTTTTTGAATGAACTCTGATTGTGTAATTTTAAATTTTGACCCTTTGACGCTTTCATAATGCAAGACTAGCATCACAGTGAAGTTTCAATCAATTTGTTGGAAAGGATTTCACATACGTCTTTGTTTCTATTTGTTGGTAAAGTCAAGTTGGTGATAACTTTCTTTGGTCCGGTAATTTATGTAGATTACTTAGGAGGGCTCTGAAATAGGGCTGGGACGGGTAACCCGGATACCCGTGTCAGGTGGGTAATGTGTTGGACCCGGGTACCCGTCTCAGTACCCGGACCCGTTATGATCATGTGACTTATAGATTAAACAATTTAATATGTTATTTTTCATGATTATAAGGTTGTAGTGTCTTTGAAGTTTTATACATTATTTACAATCACCTGTTTTGAATATAATACATGATTAAGATATTGAAAGAAAAAATAGCCTCCGAGCTGAAGAAGATATTGCCATTTCTTACAAATTTGGCGTCAGGAATGAACATATCGGGTATCCGGGTAGGGTAGGGTAATAGGGCGTGGGGTACCCGGGTAGAAAATTTGAACCCGTCACAGCCCTACTCTGTAATAGTGATTGAAATAGTGAATAACCAAATTCTATTCTCTGCTCATATTACTACCAACACTGCTGACAATACAAGCATATATAGCAACCTTGGTGGGTCGCATAGGCAATAAAACTAATTTAATATCAAAAATATTACTTTCTCAGAAGATTATTTAAAATAAATTAAAACTAGGCTATTGACCACAAAGGACCAAAGGGACTAAACGGGTTCATATAACTTGTTTGTTTGTTTGCTTGTTGTTTTACGACGCACACACCAATATTCCTATTTAGCGGGGAGCGGTGGGGTAGCCTAGTGGTTAAAGCGTTGGTTCGTCATGCCGAAGACCCGGGTTCGAATGGGTACAATGTGTGAAGTCCATTTTTGATGACCTCCGCCGTGATGTTGCTGGAATATTGCTAAAAGTGGCGTAAAACCAAACTCAGTCAGTCCTATTTAGCTGTAAATTTATTGAAGATGGATATGTTCAGCGGCTTGCATACACAAATTTGATAACTTGTTTCCAAATCATTTCAATCTGAACAGAATGTTTGAAACAAAATCAGCATGTTACAAAATGTATAAAAACCCAGATCGTTTTCGTTCCTGGATGAGGATGTAATGTCAGCGAACTGCCTTGTGACACCGGAAGCAACCACTACTCGATTCAAGTCGTGGAGCGCGGTCGGCGAGCTGTCTAAGGCGCCAGGCTACTGATCCAGCGAGCTTGAGGTGTCGGGATCGTGCCCGCCTGTGACCGGGTGTAAAAACCTTGGAGTCAACTTTGTGTGCAGACTCTTTCAGTGTTCTCACAACCCCTAGTGTACAGTACACCACCCTGTGCACTAAAAAGAACCCACGAATCTGTTGGTAAAAGACCAGAGGGTGGCCACATGAATACGTGCAAACACCTAGTTGCGGGTACAGCAACGTACAGTAAACTTGGATAAGGTATGACTATGTGTCCCAGTCCACCCAGCTGGGAATGGGTACCTCGTAAGGACGGGAAAGTCACATTAACTCGGTGTGCCTAATGGCTGCAACAGTTGTAAGCTCCAATGATGGAGGGAAAAGCAGAGAGCCTTGTAGCAGCTAAGCTGGATATTGGCGCTTTACAAAATTAATATTAGTCGCTGCAAATATATTTTCTTGTTTCAATGATGCGTGTTGATGTATTTGCCATTAAACGGCACGACGGCAATATTCTATTTATTCACCTAAATGTCACTTAACAGCGGTAATCAAGATATCAGGTGTTGTATCTAATAGATAATCAATAGATTCGTTTTAGATCAGATTCAAATATTGAATTCGCGAGAAATATCAATGCTTAGTTGACGTCAGACATTGAGCTCAATCAACTTCGGTACACGCACGAGCAGACACTGTAGGTGTCTCGTATTGTATTTTACATTTAGGAATCAAATAACGGAAGAGAAAAACGTTGTGCAAGAATTAAATCAGAACGCCAGTGTCTAAGAAAGGCGAGAATACTGCATAAAACTGAACTCAAACTCAAATATGTTGTGAAATAGTTTCACCCATGTTTTTGAATAACATTGGACGCAGTTACGATCTTTGGTTTAGGTCGTTACGGCACACAGTATGGGACCCGTGAAGATCCGGGTTAGAATTGATCTTCAGCAACCCATGCTTGTCATAAGAAGCGACTAACGGGATCGTCAATCACTGGACGCCTTCATAAAGCTGAAATTTTGTTCCGTACGGAGACAAAGTGAACATAAATTTCTAAAAGCGGCTTAAAACCATACTCACTCACTCACTCGCTCACTATCTGTTACAGATACCAAGCAGTTCAACATGCGGTGTCGGGTGTTTCTGATGGTATCCATGTATTTCTCCGTGGCAGGTATGTGTCATACTGAATATACAGCGCAGCTGACGCAAAATACCATACTGCCAAATACAGTACATTTGTATTTGGTTATTGTTCATGAAACCATTTTAAATCTTTAGATGTGTTTTTACGTGTTTTACTTCATGAGCTCATAATGTATGTTACACGAAATCGTGACAATCCGGGGTCTTCAGTGACCCATCCTGTTCGTGGTAGGTGACTAACGGGATCGGGTGTTCAGGTTCGTTGACTTGGTTGACTCAACTGCTTAGACCATGCTCATGATGTCAATCGGTGAATTCTCTGGTCCAGACTCGGGCCAATTCGACACATGGGTACGATGAGTGAAGCCCATTTCTGGTGTCCTAACCGTGATATTAATGGAATATTGCTAAAAGCGGCGTAAAACTAAACTCACTCACATGTACTCGTAAAGATCCGGGTTAGAATTGATCTTCAGTAACCCATGCTTGTCTTAAGAATATTAATATTGTCTTAAGAGGCGACTGAGTGGTCAGGCTCGCTGACTTGTTTGACATATGTCATCCCATCCCAATTGCGTAGATCAATGCTCATGCTGTTGATCACTGGATTGTCCATTGTCTGGGGTATTGAATGTATACACCATAATTCTATAGATCTCACGATGACTCACATATGCTGTCATGTTCCTTACAGTCGGCTCAATAACGTTCACCACACAAGGGTACAATGAATTTGTCAACCCCATGATCTTTGGCTTTGATATTCGGGGAAAGGACTGGATCACGTTTAGGATCATGGCGTGCTGGGACTTCAACATCATTCTGTACTTCCGTGACCAAGAGATGTACCGAATGCTACTTGGAGGATGGCACAACGGTAAAAGCCGATTCTTCGCATTTGGGACGTATGCAGACGTCTCTGGGAAGGTCTTCACCTGCACTGGCTATGATGAGTTTTGGACCTCTTGGGAAGATGGACATTTTAAAGTTGGTCGTGGCAAGCAAAAGGATGTTGACATTCTCTTCAGTGATGCTGGGTATACAGTTCCTGGCGTCGACAGCTTTACTGTGAATGCCCCGAGCGGGTCATTCATTTTTGGTAAGTTGAGCCACATCATGCAGCTTCTCGTATCCTCTGGATTTAAGGGGTTGAAAAGTCCATGGCACTCCATACCTGAGTGCAAAGGGAAAACATATATCCCAGGTGTTCTTTTCACATCCCGTGAGTCTCCTAACTCGCAGATTCTCGATGTTTGATAAATCCTGATGTCCTAACATGTCCCTGCTATTCTGTGACCAATGTGGACTTGGTCCCTATCACCTCTTAACAGTCTTAATAGGTCCCTGCTATCCCTTTCATGCTGTGAGCTTAACAGGTCCCTGGCACCGCATGCTTGCCACTGATCTTGTCTTAATAAATCTCCAGTACATGTTACATGCTGAGGGCTAAAGAAGTGCAAGGTATAATATATATGTCGACTTGTTAGAACCCTAGAATCCACTACTTTTTCATACTTCGCAAGCTTACAAAAACCAAGCCTCCCCTGGTTGTAACACTCTGTGGGCTTACTAGATCCCTGGCATCCCTGCGTATCACGCTCTGTGGGATTACTAGATCCCTGGCATCGCTGCGTATCACACTCTGTGGGCTTACTAGATCCCAGGCAACCCTGCGTATCACACCCTGTAGGCTTACTAGGTCCCTGGCATCCCTGCGTATCACTCTCTGTGGGCTTACTAGGTCCATGGCATCCCTGCGTATCACGCTCTGTGGGTTTATAACAT